CCGAACTTTACAGCAGCACTTGACTAACTAAAACACTGACTCGATACAGACTTCCGCGGACACTATTATACTATTACACGTCTTTTTCGAAGAAGGTCTTCCGTGGCTGTCAGCTGGAACTGGCTGAACTTCTTCAACGTCGTCTAGCCAAGTGGGTGCCTTTTCTCCATGGTAAGGCCGGAGATGATCATGGTGAATAATTCTTGCTTTGGATCGAGGACGCTTCTGGATCTTGTACACAATATCACTGTTCTTCAGAACAAGGTACGGGCCTTCCCACGGAAGCTGTAAGCAAGGGGAAACTCCCTTCCTCCTCTTTGGGTTGTAAAACCAAACTGGTGTCCCCCGATTATACTTTTTCTGGTTAAGTCGTTGATTGTACTTTCTATTCTGCCTGTCGCTTTCGATTGTCAAGTGTTATCTTGCGTATCCATGCACATTACGAATCTTATCCTGAAAGGAACGTGCATAGTCGCAAGTGTTGGTAAGATCTTTTTCTGACTCTGGATTTCTCTACCGAACATTAACTCGCTTGGGGAACAACCAGTTGTCTCATGCACGGATGAGCCGTAAGCCATCATAAGCAAGGGTAAGTGGCAATCCCAGTCACTTACATTGTCCGTGACAAACCTTGAAAGAATGTTTTTTAGGGTCCGGTTGAACCTCTCAACCATTCCATCAGATTGAGGCCTAAGAGGAGTTGTTCTTGTTTTGTCTAAACCAAGAATGTTCAAAACCTCCTTGAAAAGGGAAGACTCGAAATTGCGTCCCTGGTCGGAGTGAATTTCCATAGGAACTCCATAACGAGAGATAAATTCTTCTGTCAGAACACGAGCTACCGTCCACTGCCTCTTGATTTGGGATTGTGTATATGACTCTGTCCACTTTGTAAAATAGAACGCTAATGACGAGGATACTTGTCTCTCGATCTGACTCCGAAAGCGGCCCTGTGATATCTACTGCAATCCTTTCAAACGGTGCACCAACATTGTAAGTTTTCATTCCAGCTTTAGGCTTCTCTGGCGGTCCAGCTCGCTTCGAACAGGTGTCACAGCATTCATGTTCACTGACACCACCGACGCACGTCTTGGGAGTATCCTGTCCAGTAAAAGAGATCCTTAACTTTTTCAAATGTCTTCTTAGAACCGAGATGAACAGCAGTTTGGAGTGTTATGTAACTGTTTTAAGACTTCTTGCCTGTAGGGTGATGGTAGCATCAATTGTAGAGAGATGTCTCCAGTCTCGGACTCTCGGACTATTGCCTGTACAGTACGCTATCCTTAAGTAGCATTCTATCCCCTTTTTTCCCAGTACGATTTAACAGACGGGCTCTTGCTAGAAATGTCACTCAGTTAGGACGGCTTTCATTCTTTTCCTTTAGTTGGATTATTGTTTCAATAGCGTCATCTTCCCTTTGTTCTTTACACAGATCCTTCAAAAGGTATTGCTGTATCCAGACTGCTGGTGTCTCGTCCGGATGCGATTCCTTGACGGAGTTACATTGTACCTGATTCGCCTCATCCTTGTCTCTAGGTTCTTCTCTTGCTTCTTCCGTTGAGCACTTTCTACACTCACCACATGGCCTCCTAGAAAGGCCATCTGCACTCCGTGAAAGCGACTCCCAAATTCGTACATTGAAAGTTCTTCAAGCCAACGGGCCATTTGGCCATCTGGGTCCCGAAGTCCATAAGACATTGAAGTGCGCCATGATCTGTGCGGATTCGAAAACGCCCACCAAGGAAGTAAGCGTGAAAGTTTTGGATTGCCAAGATCGCCGCCAACATTTCTCGCCTGGTAACACAGTAATTCCTTTCGCTCTTCGAAAGTGTTCTGCTAAAGTAGGCGACGACCTTTTCCTCCCCACCAGACACCTGGGAAAGAACAGCACCCACCCCACTATTGCTGGCATCTGTATCCAAGATAAACTCCTCGTCAACCCTCGGGAACGCTAAGATTGGGGAAGCTGTTAAACACTTCTTGAGTCTGGCAAAAGATCGTTCACAGTCTTCAGACCACACATAAGAAGCGCCCTTCTCCTGGAGCATGCGAGGGATCACCAAGCCAAACTGAAAAAGTACCCAAAGCAGCTGATCGACACAATTCTTGCCATAGCTCTCAATCGCCTGACGTTACTGAAGTATTCTCCTGCGGATCTCTCCAGCTCTTGAAAGAACGGTTTTCGAATTTCTTGATGCCCGAAAAGAATGCTTCGAAATGCAGGAAAACCAAGGCAACAACAAGCAAAATTTCGATTTGGGGGATTCCAAATCTGTAATTGAAAAATTGCAATGGCATAACTGAAACCACAGAATTTTTGGCTTCAAATTTAGCGCTGTGTAAAAATGATCACATGATTTTTCGTGCAATTTACATGTACAATAGGTTGTACAATGGTTACAAATAATGTATTCTAAATAGCACAACAAGAATCTATGATTTCCTTTACAAATTCTTGAATGAAATTGGGTGTTCAACAAAGTATTTGGCCCATAAAGTAAAAAAATGATATCTTTAATTTTTCCCAAATTTTCTATATTTTTTATCATAATTGATTTTTCGCATTATTTCACTAGCAACTAGCAACTAGCAACTAGCAACTAGTAGCATGATATCCTATCTCGTTTTAAAGACATAATTATAATGTAGCCAAGACCAGGCGACACTGGGTACTATGTAATCAATCGTACTCAAAAATACAACGAACTGCAGTAAGTATAAGTCAACTAAGACGTTGACCCCAAGTAAAAATCACAAGTCACTCAAAATCGCCAGAATAGCATATGCTAGACAGTCATCTAGCTTTTAAAGGTGTGGAGGGGTTTGTGGTGGTGGTGGGGAGTGGGACCTTGCCTTTTGTGCTGTTGTAGTCTAATTTTCCAGTGATGGAAGGCGTTGCATAGCATAATTTTGAGTGTGAGGGGAACATCACCAACMTTTCTGCTTTTTTCGCTCTTTTCTCGCCCCCTCCTGATAATTGTGCACAAAAACAACAACAACAACAAACAAAAACAGAAAATGCATGCTTTGTTGAGAGAGCAGCGAAGATAGCAGACTGTACAGCGACAAATTAAACAAGAAAGCTTTGCATTTTTCTATTCCATCGAATACAGAANTTGCTTAATTCAATCCTGATGAAATGATGATACATAAGGGTGGTCAGAATAAACACGAAATGGAGCGGGATGGTTGCAGCGCTGCAAGATGTGATGTTGGTAAAGTGCCTTCCTTAACGCGCATGAAATTGAAATAAATTCATACCTAAAAAAAGACTAATCGCAGGTAAACAAAGACTCGATTCATAAAATTTAATCTGGAGCAATAATTGGCCAATTCTCACGTACACTTCTACACTAATTATATCTACAAATGTACGAAGACATCTACTACCTCGACCCTTAGACCTATCAACAGAATGTCCGTGCAAAGCCAAGAAAGGCCTGGGTATTAAGACATCAACAATAAATAAGAAACYTTAATAGTTTCAAAGGTTTGAAAGCCACTCTAAAACAAGCACATAAATGCAGGAAAATCAGTTGAAGTTTGACTTTATAATTAGTACACACTTAGGGTGTAGATTCACTTATAGATAAGTTCGATATACTAATATATAGAGCGGATTTCGTATGAGTGGGACACCGTTACCGCACGGTTACCGGACCTGCATGGCCTTCGCAATTTTGGTGAACCAATGGGGCACTAGAATTTGGTTACAATACGATTACGGTCACAGTACAGTACCGTCCGTTTCCCACTCATACGAAATCCGCTCTATACTAATATTAGTCGGTTACATGATGACGTCATGTACTACAATTACCACCGTGATTCGCCCATTCTTCTGTAATGTGATTGGTCCAAAGGGACTAACAATCTGACTTAGATTGAAAATACACAGGGCATATTGGATGGTATTTCTAGCACAATGTCTTATCGACCAACAAATTTTTCAAAAATCATATTTACAGGTTTTTCAAAAACAAAGAAGATTTGCATTGTGTTAAATCGATATTAATGTTCATTTTAGAGTTTTACATAATCATTTCCAGTATCTCACGTACTCTGTTGGAATAGTCCAATAAAAAGACGARGCTTCGCCGAAACAAACGTAGTATCTAGTGTTTCCCAAGAGCCTCGTYTTCAGTTCTTTTTGCGTGACCCATCAACAAGGATATCAAAAGCTGTCTACTGTGAGATGCACTTTAAAATATKGATATGGAGGAAGCGGGGACGTTATACCAAAGGTCCAAATTTAAATCAGCCAAAGAGAGGGTCTTATAATTAAAACTAACTTTTGTCCCCGGAGTATAGCTAGTTTACGATCACTCACTGTTAATGAAGTCTTTGTAAATCAAACAAATATTTCTTAAATTAAAAAAAGAAAGTTTCCACTAGCACAGAAATCCCAAATATGTCACCATTTTTTGACTGTTGGTGACCAATATCAGTTTCTTGGGACACAGGAGTAACTGCTTGATTTCAATATAGTCATTCCTGGATCGARTTTATAACAAGGTTGACTGACTGCGGTAAAAATAGCAGAAGAACCGAGCAACCTGCATCTTCTATCAGAAAACTATCAATATCCGTTAAGTTAAGAATACAGCAAATTCCAAAATGACACAAGGTAATTGCACCACCTCAAGCCACTATGGGGCTAGTGAAACGATGAAACCAGAACCGTCAATGAATAGTTCAGTTACGACAGACTGCAYTAGTTAGTAGTTGTAAATTACCTTCCATCATCTTGTTGTTTGCCAAAAAGTGTCAATACAATACGTACACGTTWACCGATTATATGACAAAGCTTAACACTCTTTGATGATAACCCAAATTCCTCCACTGMTCTGTACCATCTTGAAAGGTAGCCTCGTCTTCCAAGTAAAATGACAGGGAGGAACTGATAATATGATAAGTATACCTTTGATTGTCATAAGAACAAGATATCAATCATCACTTCACTCGTCTATTAACTTCGATGACTGAAGAGCAGGTACATTTCAAGATGGCACAGGTTCAATATACAATTGAATTGCAATCAGAGAGATTTATGGCGATCAATCTGTCAATCATTAATATTAAATTTAGTGTAAAAGTGAGGCATGCATCTTTTGAGCGACTTCATTTATATACACAACGTCTGGTCTCTGCTCTGGTTCTGGGTTAATACATAGGCTGACTAGATTTCGTAGCTGAAATGTAATCATCAATGAAAAAAAATCAATCAATGATTAAAAAAATATTATGTACTACCCTTAGACGGTTTTTCAGCCCACAACCTTTTTCTCAGCYTTTTCTTTGATTTAGACGTCAAATCCCCCTGTCTTACCATTAATTGTGMTGTTAAAACAGTGCAAAATCCCCGTCTATTATAATGTGCAAATTCCCCGGGGGTTTGGAGGCCGGTGTAATACCGGGGTTTCAATTGATTGATGCATAACTGTATATAATTATTTAGAAAATTCGAGTATACACTATTTTACCAGAAGTACATAACCATTCTGGTTATGTACTTCTGATTTTACCTAATGTACACTACATTACCTAATGTACCACCCTTACGGGTTTTACATATCAACGGTAATTAATTCCTAGAAAACTTATTTTTAAAAGTTATCAATGAATTAATAATAAATCAATGGATCAACCGAACAATTAATCAATAAAGCAATCAATTAAATCAATCAATCAATCAACCTAAAAAATCAATAAATTAATCAAACAATCCATCAGTCAATCTAAAAGTCAATAAATCAACCATCTGAATTAATCGATCCAWYCATTGATAAACCCATAAATCATYCAATCAACCATTCAATCAATCAATCAATGAATTAATTAGTTACTATTCATTACCTCTTGTGAGTAATGTTCAGCAGGGAGGGGAGGGTAGTCACATTGTTCGATCTTTTTACACAGAGAATATAGATTCAGTTTGTCACCATAGAAAGGYGATTGTAAAGCTGCCATCTGAAAACATCAAAACATCATTGTTACTCGATTTACCAACAGYACCAGCTATACATGTAAATATCAAGAARTACCTCATAAAGCAAACAACCTAGTGACCAGACATCAGATTTAAAGTTGTATCCATTCTCATGGATCCGTTCAGGCGACATGTAGTATGGTGTACCAACTATAAAAACAACAATGACATCTACTTTATATCTTTGATATTCTTAGATCTTATAATAAGAATAATCAAATTAAATAGACCTTTCCCAC